AGGGTTGATCTCCTCTAGGACTGACCGGTTTGATCACCTTGTGGTCCAAGGGACTCGCAGGAGTCTCCTCCAGCACCACAATTCAAAGGCCTCAATCCTTTGGCGCTCAGCCTTCCTTATGGTCCAACTTTCACAGCCATACATTGCAACTGGGAAAACCATAGCCCTGACTATACGCACTTTTGTTGGCAGGCTGATGTCTCTGCTCTTTAGTATGCTGTCTAGATTTGCCATAGCTTTCCTCCCCAGGAGCAAGCGTCTTTTGTCTGGGACAAATAGACAGAATTAAACATACCTCACTAACATTTCTTGAGCTATAAAGTCATCAGTGATCTAGGATCCATTTTTGTAGGACTGCCTGCTCCCATGTGAACTTGTCTGATTGTTAAATCTTCATTAAGGACCCTGTACTTGGTGTCCCCACACTCTAAAGTTTGGTAAGGGAGGATGCATAGCTCAGTGCTAGAGAATATGCTGTGTAGGGAGAAGCTCAGTGTGGAGCCAGTGTGGTGTGGTGGTTAAGAGCATGGGACTGGGACTCAGAGGATCTGGGTTCGAGTCCCCGCTCAGCCATGGAGCCAGCTGGGTGACTTGGGCCAGTCACAGACTCTCAGCCCAAGCTACCTCACAGGGTTGTTGTTGTGGGGATAAGATGGAGGAGGAGATGTAAGCTGCCTTGAGCCCTTTGTAGGAAAAAGGCAGGACATAAATCAATCAATAAATAAAAAATAAATGAAAATAAACATGGAAGGACCGTTACCAGTCAGTGCTGACAACTTGGGTAGATGTACCAAGGATCTGACTGAAGATAAGGGAGATTGCCATGTATTTGGAATAAGGCCTCTCCTCTGATGACATTCCAACGGTGGAAATTGCACCTGATTTTCTGGTGGGTAAGAATATTAGCAGTTATTTGGAAACTTAGTGGCATGGAGTGGTGTTTCCTATCTCTCACTGAGCAACTGTATCCATACTGACTGTTTATGATGTAACTTCTTACTTATTATCTTCCTGTTGCCATTCCTTATTCTACTGTTTGTTTTAATGCAAGTTTTATGCCTATCTTTTGCTAGCTTTTAAGAATAGTGGTTTTAATTTATCGTTGAGGACTAAGATCAAAAGCTGAGGTTAAAATTATATCTAAGGACACAATTCTATGGCAATGGCCATAAGCCCATGAACCTGGACACTTACGGACATCCAACACAAAGCAGAGAGTTGTGGAGAAGACCCTCCCCATCTGCTCACCTTGCGTTTTTGCTAGTCAGAACTTTTTGCCTGCCCCCCCCCCCCCCCCCCGGTTGTATTCCTGACTTCAGAGGGTCAGGGATGCGGTTCCATCTTCTCTGCCACCTGGATGGGAGACAGGAAGCAGCCTGGGTGTCAAGATAGGTTTCTATCCCCTCGATGTCAATCCAGTGCCTACTTCCTGCCCCCAGTGAAAGGGCATTTCCCCAGGTGGGCTGTTCTGCTCCTTGAGGAGGGAAATAAAAGAGTTGTTTCACATCCAGTCAATCTCAGAACAATTTTGTATGGCTGCTCTGCAATAATAAAAAATACATAGTAGAAACTGTGTTCTGCGTTACAACTTGTATTGCATTCTGAATATGTAGGTGGCCCATTTATGGGCTATTGAACTAATGCCTTTTTGTGTTTAATGTATATAAGAAGTAGAAAGTATTACCATGGATGATTTTTGCACCCAGGAAATAGGTACCACTCATTTCCTTTCTCACCATGCAAGTGGATTGCTAAACTCTATTTCATGATGATGATGATGAGGAGGAGGAGGAGGAGGAGGAGGATCTTGTCTTCTTGTCAGGGCTGTCTCCCTTCTCAGTGATTTTCGTAGACTTCAGTTGAATAAAATGAACAGGCAGCACCTGGAACCATACCTGGGAAGTGTTAAAACAAAGCAATGTGGCACAGAGAGAGGTGGTTAACACTTTGAAAAACAAAGAATCAATTATGGTCCAAGTTGCCCAGCAAATTCTGAAGAATTGTGGCTTAATACAAACTGTTTTGATTTGTTGTAGCACAGAATTTGGCTAAGCAATTTGTATTAAGGAAGGGGTTCCTCGTGCAGCTGGTCTTGTGTTTGGTGGGTTTAACTGTCTCTCCCATACACATGAGTGATTGCCATTCATCACCATAGGGAAAAGGAAAGCACAGAGTTAAGGAACAGCGTTGCTTGCTGTTGAATCTGCAGTACATAAGGCATTTAGGTAATAATTCATACTGCTTGAGTCTCCTGACTTGAACTGATGATGAATATAAACACTGCATATCTAATTGTGAAAGATCATCACTCTGTGTTTATGGGCGGCCTCAAAACTATTGTCTGTCTGCTAGCATTTCAAAACAAAACTGTTTGATTGCTCTCTAGAGTTGATATGCATGTCAGAATGGAAGGATAATGTTGTGCAAGGTATGTAACAGGATGTACGCCTTATGGGTAATCGTTCTATAAAAAGGAAGCCCTTTCCTTTATCAGGCATGATGTGTTTTTGGAAAGATATACAGTATTCTTGGTCACAGGATGTTGCATTTCTTTCTAATGGGCAAATCCCAAACTCTAACCTATGGCAGAGTTCAACGCAACACAAAAATAGCAAACTGTGGCATCATCTGAAAAGGATGTCAATAAACAGCTGAGGAAACTCAGGAAACTAAAAACACAATCAGCTTTTGAACCCACTGAACTATCCATCTGCTGACTATTGTCATGATGGAGTTCCCTCTATTGCCTTCAGAATTCATTAAAAAAAGGACCAACGTCCACAAACCCATTCAATCATTCCCTCTCTCAAGAACACTATCAAGTGTTTTCTAAGTGCATCATAGGCATGCCAGCGTCAGCTATTACGTATGTCAAAATCCTTCTGGTGCCAGCGCTGTTTCCTGTTTTCCATGCTGAGGTTGTCATGGAGCCTTGGGAACAAACTTTAGCAGCTATTGTAAGCCAAGGGCTACTGAAATTGTAGCCACCATATCCTTTAACCATGATTTCCATTTTTCCTATTATATGAACAATTTTCTTCTAAGAAAAAAATTGAAATTTCTTCAATTTTCACCCTGCCCATTGCCAGTTCCATGGAATACTTTGAAAGAGAAGGTTCTGCTAAGCTGTCCTGTCCAAATCCTGCCTCATCAGACCCATCCTCCACACATCTGCTGCCATCCCTTTAAAACTACCTTAGGTCAGTGCTAGGGTCAGTGCAGACTGTAGGTTTCGGACACCCTCCGTTGATCTGCTCCCTCCAGGAGTCTACCTTCTCACTGCCGTTTTCAACAGCTGCTCTCCATCCTCCTACTCATTCCCCTCCTTGCTCCCATTGGCTTACTTGGCAAGCAAAGAGGCAGCGAACAAGCGGGCAGTGGCATCTGCTCCTCTGTCTTACCACCACCGCCATTGCCTGCGCCGAGTGTTTGATACTCTCACCTGATCAAGCAACAGACCTCTGCAGCAGATCTTTTTGGAGCTTCCTATTGACTGGGGACGTAGGAAACCACACCCACAAATAGGATATGAATTACTTTCCTTATTCATCTCATTGTGACCTGTGTCATTCATGTCATGACCCAAGTCTCAGACTGCAGCCAAGAGCCAGACAAAGAGGGAGAATAGCCCTGCAACATCCATTTTATTTGTGCAGGAAATAATTACATCATTTGGACAAACAGGTATGGGGTGGGTCATGAGTCAAGTGTTTACACAAGATGATTTCTGATGGGTACTCCGTGAGCTAGACTTCCTTCGTAGTGTTCCCGGCCTGTAGGACAAAGGCAATGTGGGGCCAAAGAACCCAGTTAATTTTCCCAAGCCTTTTTGCGTAACCTTCACACAAGGCTTTGCTGCTGCTCTTGCGGTGACACATTCTTGTCATGAAATGAAAGCCAAGGGGCTTTACATAGTCTGTTCCTCATCTGAGAGTCAGAATATGATGCGTCAAATGTTTCCTGTTTACCTGGAGGAAGAGGGAAACAGCTTCATCTGAATGATTTCTCTATGCCAGCATGATAAAGTACACCGTGGATGTTCACATGGTTATCCAACTGGTGCAGAAAACAGACATAAATGATCAACATTAGAAGGAGGGAGTGCCAGACATACCATTATGCCAAATGAGTCAGCAGCCTTGGGCAGCAGATGCCAGGTGGTGTTAAAGCAAAGCATGTGTGTTCCATGGCCTTCCTTGCATCCCTCAACTGGCCTGATGCCTTCAGGTACAGTGAAGGATGTGGCTCCATCACCAGTGTTCAAGTAAGACACTGCCAACCACCAGAGTTGAGGTTCAGGGACCACCTAGTACTTTGCCTCAGGCAGCAGAATATCTTGGGCTAATCCAGAAAGTAGATCTCTTGGTCTAGGTTTCTGAGCATGCAAGGGCTAAAAAGATAGAGCTTTGCTCCATTCAGCTAGAAGCATGAACATGGAAGTTCCCTAAAGGAGGAGCAATCATTTATGTTATTTCCCCCATTTCCTTTCTTATAAAACCCTGCAGAAAACCCCAGCCTGTTCTGCCCACGATGTTCCTATTTTCCCACAGTGAAGCAGCTACAGTGACAGAGCCTTAGAGAAATACATCTGGTATGGCTGAATTTTATGCTTGCTAGCTAACCCAGCTGCAGTCCCCAAAGGAGCACTTGCGGACGGCGCTGCTTATTGTCCTCATTATTCAATTATTGTGCATGAGCAACAGCAAGGGCACCGTCCAAAGTAAATATTTCTTCAATGTCTTTTCAGCAACACATATTCAGCGTGTAGGAAGTTAGCTGGCAGCTGTTCAGGTTTGTGGTATGTGGCAAAATCCTGTTATTGGACACGGAGTATGACGCTTCAGCTCTCCTAGAAACACTGCTCAGGGAACTTCTTGAAATGATCAAACGCTGAATTTTCAAACATACTTATACAAAGGTTCGCTTCCTATATTGTGCATTCTAACAGTCAGCTTTGTTTCATGCATGATATCGCCTTTTTGAGGACCCCAAATATGCTTAAACTGAAGTTACATCGAGCAGGTTTGCACGACTTGGCAATGCTCTGGGGGTAAGGAGCAATTATGGTCTGTTATGTCATGCCGACCTACATGGCTCCCTATTGGGTAGCTTGTTTGTGGGCGTGGCTTGTTCTAGGGGTACTGTGCCCATGATGGGTTCCCATGACACCCTAAAGCAGGCGACAAACCCCACTGTGAGTCTAGGGAGGCTGGAAGCAAAGCGCTTGGCAAGAACAGCAGAATCCCTCTTGTCCCCTGCCTGGGCCATCGCCACTGACAGCCACTGCATCCAGTGCTCCATAGCACATTAGAGTAATCATTACTGGCTTGATCTCCCCCATGCCAACAACAAGGCCTTTTCCAGGTGTCACAGCTTGTTGTGCTCATCTTTATTTATTTATTTGGAGTTGGCTTTCGTCATCTCCAAGGTGACAACCAGTTATACCGGCTTCATAGTGGACACATAGCACTTTTGAGTGCCATCCATTCTTTATTTACTTATTTTTACAACAGAGATTTGCATAAATGTTTCTGTGTGTGTGTGTTGGATATTGAGAAGGGCACAGGTACACTATTCCAGCTATCCCACAAGCACAGCATTGACTTGTCCATGCCCTGGATGATGTTTCCTGTCAAAGTAAAGGAATTCCCATCCATGGGTTTGATAAAACAAGGCTTCAAATGCATTCATTCACTGCTTTGCTTCTCATTTGACAGCTGCCCAATGGTGAGCCTGCAAGGGGATCTTTGCTAGTGAAAGAGTGTGGCATATAGATCACTCCCTTCCAAGTGATCCTTATTTGTTTATTTGTTTGGACTGAACTGTGCTCAGTGTCTTCTCCCTTTCCCCCTTAATCTCTAGGTGCTTGGGCAAGTGGGAAAGTAGGAAAACTGAGCAACCTGATTCATAGGAATATGGAGATTTGATAGATATTGACAGTTTTTGATAGAGCTAACTAGATTTTTTTAAAAAAAATTAAAGGACTTGCTCAGATTTCATGACAGCATATGTCCGTGTCAAATCCCCCTGATTAGCCCTGTCACATCCTGGTTTAAAAGGAAGTTTGAATTTTTGCAGTTGTACAAACTCTGTGTTCCCATAGAGTGGTGGATTGCACTCTTCCACTTTCTAAGTATGACAAAAATAGATATGACTATAGGGCTATCACAGGAAGTAGGGACTCTTCTTCAACTTCCCCTTCTTTTGCTTGTAATCTATAGGAAGGAAAATGACATGATAATTAAAGCGTGCCTTTTACCCCATCCTTCTAATATAGACATATAATGCCAGGTGTCCTCACTCACAATTCTGTACCCCAGCCCATGTCAAATAATCTGATGACCATCACATCACACATTTAATCTACCAAACATTAAGAAGGTACTACATGAGATTGCAATTTTTGGCAGCAGTTCCATGTCCCTTGACAGGTTTAAGTTTTTCCTAAAAAAACACTTGCCCCTAAAACTGGTCTGCATTGTAATCGTAAAACCTGGTGAGATGAAGAACATTTATTGTTCTTCTGCTTCCTGTCCTACAATAATAAATCCACACCTATTCTAAAAAGTGAAAGAGAAGCTCAACTGTGCCTAAAGTATGAAATAAATTTCTGAGAATGAAATGAAGGAAAGTCATGCCATCCTATTCTCTTGGGAAAAAAAGATGTGATTATCTTTAGCAAGTGGGAATACTTAATGCTCTATTGATAGAAAAACACATGGTATCAATCCAGTTTGGGGGTTAAATATTTTCCC